TATCCTATATTTGAATAAAACAGGTAGATGTATAAAATTTTAACATCCGGTGATGTTAATACATTCGAGGTTGTTTTTCCGACCTCTAACGGAAAGACCCGAGATGATGCAATTGCGAATTAGTGCTACAGAGACAAGCGTCTGGATAATCGATACTACAAATAATGACGAAAAAGTAGTAGCATATAATGAAAAGTAGAATAAAGAAGAAAAGTAGTATAAAGAAGAAAAGTAGTATAAAGAAGAAAAGTAGTATAAAGAAGAAAAGTAGTAGCATATAATGACAAAATACCATCATATAATGACAAAATACCATCATATAATGACAAAATACCATCATATAATGATAAAATACCATCATATAATGATAAAATACCATCATATAATGATAAAATACCATCATATAAAGATAAAATACCATCATATAATGATAAAATACCATCATATAATGACAAAATACCATCATATAAAGATAAAATACCATCATATAATGACAAAATACCATCATATAATGATAAAATACCATCATATAAAGATAAAATACCATCATATAATGACAAAATACCATCATATAATGACAAAATACCATCATATAATGATAAAATACCATCATATAAAGACAAAATACCATCATATAATGACAAAGTACCATCATATAATGACAAAATACCATCATATAAAGATAAAATACCATCATATAATGACAAAATACCAGCATATAATGAACGTTCTCCACATAAGGCAGTTACGGCGTTCCATACTCACTCCTGAAAATCCAAACAATATACAATGTACAATAGACACGCTGTTCACGGTAGCTTGTGACTGTAAGCAAAAGTTTATATTACTTGTGATAGACAGATCATTATGCATAATGTGCACAATCGGCAATCCTGGGCTTATATACTCCGCTACACTCCATTCAAACACAGGTATACGAGTCATCAAAGGAGCTCCGAGTGATGTGTGTACGCCATTAACCCCCCCCCCCCCCAATAAAATTAAAGTCACAAATTAATGATGATTTTAGGATTTTATGAAAAAAAACGTAGTTAATTTTTTTTTATATAAATCCTAATTAATTTTTTTAATTTTTCAAACTTAAGCAAGCAAAGAGTATAGTTATATTGAGCAATGGTGCCTCTTTCAAAATTGTGAATTTTATGGCCTTTGGTTTAAAACATGAACAAATTAAATTAATGGAAAGTTTTTACATAATACTCAGGTGAACTCTAAGTCCCGTTGGCCTCTTGTTGTTTGTTTTTATTTCTTGCAATATTGGCTTCTATTTTTTAAAGTTGTGTTTGGTCATGCGCGTACTGCTGTACTAAATTTATACTCAGCATAAAGGTTCTTGGACTCTTTGCGCCTGAATCGAAAGATCCGAGGCATATATAGTTTTTGTCCTTTCTGTCCGTCTGTTTGTCGGCACTTTTTAACCTTTGCCAAGTTTTGAACCATGAATAGTTGACACTTCATATTTGGTATGCGTACTCTACTGATTAAGTTCTTTCAAATGACATCAAGGTCAATGACCTTGTGACCTTAACTGTGACCTATATGCTATAATAGTTTTTTTCTGCAAACTTTAACTTTTGCCATAACTTTTGAACCATACAAGATAGAGACTTCATATTTGGTATGCATACACCACTGAATAAGCTCTTTTAAATGACATCATAGTCAATGACCCTGTGACCTAGACTGTGACCTATACACTAAATATAGCTTTTATAACTTTAACCTTCACCATAACTTTTAACAAAGAAAGATACAGACTTAATATTTGGCATGCATACTCCACTAAATAAGCCCTTCCACATGACACCAAGGTAAATGACTTTGTGACCTTGACTGTGTCATATATGCTAAAAATAGCGTTTTTGAATCATAACTCTTGAACCATGAGAGACAGAGATTCCATATTTGGTATACATACTTCACTAATTAAGTTCTTTCAAATGACATCAAGATCATTGACCCTGTGACCTTGACTTTGACCTACATGCTAAAAATAGGTTTTTTAACTTTATTGTCGCTGGGTGCATAGTGTTTCACAAACACATCTTGTTATTAGCTGGGACTCAACTTTCTCCTAAAACCATGAGTCCTGGGACTTAAGTTTATAATCCTAGTGAGAACTCTGGGAATATACCATCATTTGTAACTGAGATGTATTGGTGTTCCATCATTGTATTTTACAACCTTCAAATCATTGGTAAATAATGCAAAAAGTTTATCAAAATAATTTAATGGTGATTTTTTTAAATACAAAAAAGCATCAATCAAACAAAGCTTAGAAATCTATAACAATATTGCACTATAAGAAGGGGGATGAAACATGATGCTTAAACTTATTCAAGTTCTAAACAGAGTCCAAATTGTTAATAAACAAAACTATCAAAATAAGATCGCAGTAGGAGAGAAATGTAAATGTTTGTCCAGATTTCCCCTTAAATACAACTCTTTCCTTATCCTCAGATATCTTGGTTAGACATAAAAGACTTTTATGAAATACAAAGTATACACATAATATCTAAAAATTTTGAAGGAGGTTTTTGTTTATCAGTATCTATGTAAAAACCAAGTCCAGCTGACAGATGCTTTACAGGTAAAATCTTAGCCAAAAAATATATGTAAGCATGCACGAACTTGGATTTCCTCTTTGGGTAAGTAATATAATAAGTATGGTATAATAAATACAAGAGGCCCAAGGGCCTTGAATCGCTCTTCTGATAAATTGTACAACCTATCACTTGTATTTGAAGCCTCTAAGTATCCTAAAACCTAAGTTGCATCAACTGATAAAAAGTTTGATGATTCCGTCGTTTCCTTCACAGCTAACAAAGGCAAAAGGAATGGCACTCTGGTTTGGATCTATCCGGAAAGACCCTTTGTAACGAAAGAAAAAAAATTAGGACTGAAGATATTTTAATAAAGCTATAAAAAAAAAACCATGAGTAGGTCACGGTGACCTACTTTAAGATTGAAGTTTTCTGAGGACTCAAGATGCATTAATAGACAAACTAAGATTGAAGATTCTAAGCCAATATGTACTTGAGATATTCAAAAGAAGGTCACCTTGACCTACTTTTTGGTCTACATTCTTGGAAAACCCAAGATGCATCAACTGACAAAGTTTGATGATTCTAAGCCAATAAATACCTGAGATATTCAAAAGTATGTCACCGTGACCTACTTTTTGGTCGAAATTCTCTAAAACCCAAGAGGCATAAACTAACAAAGTTTGATGATTCTAAGCCAATAAGTACCGGAGATACTTAAATATAGCCATAAAATGTCAAAAGTAGGTCATCGTGACCTACTTTTTGGTCGACATTCTCCGAAAACCCAAGATGCATCAACTGACAAAGTTTGAGGATTCTAAGCCGATAAAAGTACTGGAGATACTTAAATATAGCCATTAAATGTCAAAAGTAGGTCATCGTGACCTATATTTTGGTTGACATTTATCAGAGGCCTAGGATGCATCTGCTGACCAAGTTTGATAATTCTAAGCCAATAAATACCTGAGATATTCAAAAGTAGGTCACTGTGACCTACTTTTTGGTCTACATTCTCTGAAAACCCAAGAGGCATAAACTAACACAGTTTGATGATTCTAAACCGATAAGTACCAGAAATACATAAATATAGACATTAAATGTCAAAAGTAGGTCACCGTGACCTACTTTTTGGTTGACATTCTCCGAAAACCCAAGATGCATCAACTGACAAAGTTTGATGATTCTAAGCCGATAAGTACTGGAGATACATAAATATAGCCATAAAATATTGAAAGTAGGTCATCGTGACCTAATTTTTGGTCGTCACTCTCCGAAAACCCAAGATGCATCAACTCACAAAGTTTGATGATTCTAAGCCAATAAATACCTAAGATACTAAAATATAGCCATAAAATGTCGAAAGTAGGTCACAGTGACCTACATTTTGGTCGACATTTTTCAGAGTCCCAAGATGCATCAGCTGACCAAGTTTGATTATCATTGGTCTGAAGGTAATCAAAATATGCCTTTTAAACAATTTGAAAACAAATGCCTGCAAAATTCTAAAAGTAGGTCACAGTGACCTACTTTTACTTAAATATGTTTTAAGGTCCCAAGATGCAGCAACTTACAAGATTTGATGATTCTAACCCTCTCAGTGTCTGATATAATGGGGTGAAATGTTTTAAAAAGGATAAGACATAAAGTTCAAAAAGTAGGTCATGGTGACCTACTTTTAAGTTGACATTGTTCAAGGACCCAAGATGCATCAACTGACAAAGTTTGATGATCATAGGCCTTAAAGTGTCCTAAATATGCCTTCAAATCTATTTGAAAACAAATGCCTGCAAAATTAAAAAAGTAGGTCACCGTGACCTACTTTTGAGTTAACATGATGTGAAGTCCTAAGATGCATCTACTTACAAGAATTGATGATCTTAGTCCTTATAGTAAGCAAAATATAGACATTTTCATTAATTGTAAATTTAGGTCAACTTTGAAGTGACCTTGAGACCACGCCCTTTGCCCCAGGGTCATGCCTTGAACAATTTTTAATCTTCAACATATCCTAATCATTGTATGTAAGTTTGGTGAAAATCTGCCTGGTGGTTCTGGAGAAGAAGATTTTTTAGCAACCAGTACTTTTGGTTTTGTTTTCCTGATTATCTCCCCTTGTTTTAGGGTCCCAACCCTTATTTTAGTATAAATGGTAGCCCTTGGGCCAAGGATACCATGTGACAAATTTGACACTGATTGGCCAAGGGGTTCTTGAGTTATGGCCCATATTCTAAAAAGTTAACGCACACTGCACACCGCACACCGCACGACGCACACCGCACAAATGGCCATAGCATTAGCTCTTTGAGCCTTTGGCTCAGAAGAGCTAAAAATGACTCAGATCTCTTGTTATGAACTAATATAAAGCATGATTTTCTTCAGATGAACCTTGTGACATTTGTCTTGTAGTCTTGTTTTTGATAACAAAACTCCATCTTGTACAGGGCACACCTTTCCATTAAGCACATGGTTAACATTTTACAATGAAGTTTCTGTAATTCACTCTCGTTCTGTGTAAATCATGGCCTGGTCTGTGTGAGGCTAGGTTTTGGATGATCCTGATGATTTGTGTTTACTGGGAGAATCTTTGTTCCCACTGAAAATGATATTGATATCAAAGTTACAATCCAATACAAAAGTTCAATATTGTCTTTAAACAAGAGGCCCATGGGCCATATTGCTCACCTAAGCACTAAGGGTAGGAAAAAGTAGAAAATAGTTTTTTATTGTAAAGTTTAAATCCCAAAGTAGTCCCATGACCACTCATGGATTTGCTATTTTTTTAGAAAATGATTTTTAAAGAATTTTCCTATATATATATCTTTGAAAACTTTGGTCGGCCATTTTGGCCCCGCCCTACCCCTGGGGGTCATGATTTGAACAAACTTGAATCTACACTACCTGAGCATGCTTCCATATAAATATGTTGAATTATGGCTTTGTTATTCTTGAGAAGAAGATTTTTAAAGAATTTTCCTATATAATTCTATGTAAAACTTTGGTTGGCCATTTTGGCCCCGCCCTACCCTGGGGGTCTTGATTTGAACAAATTTGAATCTACACTACCTAAGCATGCTTCCATACATGTATATATGATGAATTATGGCTTTGTCATTCTTGAGAAAAAGATTTGTAAAGAATTTTCCTATATATTTCTATGTAAAACTTTAGTCGGCCATTTTGGCCCCGCCCTACCCCCAGGGGTCATGATTTGAACAGACTTGAATCTACACTACCTGAGGATGTTTCTCCATAAGTTTGATCTTTCCTGGCAAAGTGGTTCTTGAGAAGAAGATTTTTAAATCTGCCACCAAATTTTCATTTATTCCCAATTATCTTCCCTTGAATGAGGGCGTGCCCTTCATTTGAACAAACTTGAATACCCTTCACCCAAGAATACTTTGTGGCAAGTTTGGTTGAAATTGGCCCAGCGTTTCTTGAGAAGAAATTGAAAATGTGAAAAGTTTACAGACAGCTAGACAGACAGACAGACGGATGCCAGACAAAATGTGATCAGAAAAGCTCACTTGAGCTTTCAGCTCAGGTGAGCTAATAACTTGAATTAGTCCTCGTGAATTTTAAATAATTCATATACAGTCTCGCCAGACTGATGTTAACATTTTACTACTGACCATCTAAGGTGTTTAAATCTGAGAGTATATTCCACACCTAGATTTAATACATTGATATTAGCATGTTTTTACTGACCGTCTGTGGTGCTTAGATCTAAGAGTGGCTAGGTTAGATGAGATGTAGGGTAGTAGTTTGTCTCGGACATTGTGGTAGTTTCGTTCTAACTCACGCTGATATTCCTTCTGATCACTTGAAATCAGGGTTTTATTCTTATGAAGAGCATCACTGCACCTGTATAAATTGAACCAGAAGTCTCTGTCAAGACTGAAGCTCTACTGGTTTCTACTTATGGCAAAGGAAGAGAAAAGTACTTTAGCAGTTGGGAATTGAAACTTTACAACAGAAATAAATAGAATAATGATCCTTGATAAAGTCTCTTTATGTTCTTAGTGTAGTTTACTTGTGTGCCAAGTTATATTGAAATCAGACCAAAACTTTAGGAGGAGTAGCATTTTGAAAGTATTTTACAGAAACTTCTATTTTTAGTAACCATGGCAACACCGTTCACAGAAATTAAAAATTGATAGAGAGAAGTATGTATCTTAGTAAAGTCTACTTGTGTGCCAAGTTATATTGAAATCAGACCAAAACTGTAGGAGGAGTAGCATTTTGAAAGAATTTTACAGAAATTTCTATTTTTAGTAACCACGGCAAGACCGTTTATCCAAATCGAAAACCGATACAGAATTATGTTTCTTAGTGTAGTCTACTTATGTGCCAAGTTATATTGAAATCAGACCAAAACTGTAGGAGGAGTAGCATTTTGAAAGAATTTCACAGAAATTTCTATTTTTAGTAACCACAACAAGACCGTTTATCAAAATCTAAAATCGATATACAGAATTATGTATCTAGTGTAGTTTACTTGTGTGATAAGTTATACTGAAATCAGACCAAAACTGTATGAGGAGTAGCATTTTGAAAGAAATTTCACAGAAATTTCTATTTTTAGTTACCACGGCAACACCGTTTATCAAAATCAAAAACTGATACACAGAATTATGTATCTTAGTGTAGTCTACTTGTGTGTGAAGTTATGTTGAAATTAGACCAAAACTTTAGGAGGAGTATCATTTTGAAAAATCATTTACAGACAGACAGACAGACGGACGGACGCCGGACGCATTACTATCGCATAAGCTCTTCTGGTCTCTGACCAGTAGAGCTAAAAAAGCCAAATGATAAATACTGTACCTGAAGACAATGTAAATGAAATTTCATTTATTGAACTCAGAGACAAGTTTAACAATCATTTCAGTGTACTATTGTCTTACTTTTTGAGGAAATCCTTAAAGGAGAGACGTAGTTTGTTTCTGTGGCGGACGTCCTGTGCTTTATTTTCTGGACTGTCCTTCAAGAAAACAACAGCAACCTCTACTGGACCCTACAACATCAGAAAGTCAAGACTCAAGTTATATCAAGATTCACATATACTGGACCCTACAACATCACAAAGTCAAGATTCAAGTTATATCAAGATTCACATATGCTGGACCCTACAACATCACAAAGTCAAGATTCAAGTTATATCAAGATTACATACTGTATGTACACTGAAATAAAAAAAATTCTGTGGAAAAAGTTCTCTGATTATTAGTTTCAGTAATATCATTACACTATTTCAACTACCTGACATTCAGGAAAATACACTTACACCTTCTAAAATTATACTATCCTCATATAACTACAGTACATGTGCAATGTACTTGTAGTAAGATATAAAAGTTTACAAATCTACAACACTA